AACCTGCTTACAACTTGAGTTGTACTGCGTAAATCAAGCACACAACTAGCTCGCCTACGTTGTCGTAGGTGAGTTGTGTGCTTGATTTACACAGTAGAACTCAAGTTGTAACTGTAAGCAAGGTTGGAGGTTGGATGCGACAGTTTTAGGCAAAAGTTGTGTTGTGTAAATCGGCCTTTGAGTCCCCCCCCCCCATGCAGTTTGTGTAACAGCACTAATATAACGTTGTTTTCCTTATTCCTCTTTTAATTTGTGCATAATCACGGAACTATACCAGGGGATTATACCGAGGTGGTTTTCCATTACATTCCGCCAGCTGAACTAAGGGAATCACCATTTCCCATCCGCAAGGATCTTTCGCCCTAAGCCGGTGTCCTTGCACGTACGGGGTCGTAACATATCCGCCGTTTGCTTTCGAAATTCACCAGGTCTGCCGTTGGCCTTCACCAATACTGTATCCGAAGACTGTGGATTTGTCACCCTACATACTTGGGCTAGATGGGTGCCACATACTAATCAAATTACTTTAAATGTACTTTAAATATTTTTGTAGTCGTACCTGTTACCTAGAGAACCTCTACACAACTCAAGCACGTCTTGAAAGCTAGAAAATTTAGGAATTTCTATGTATATACTCTATGATTCCGTTTTTTTTAGTCCTTTCCTGCAACATATAAAAGAAAGTACGAAATTTTTAGACGATTTTGCTGGATTTAACATTTTAAAACATTACGAAATTTTTAGAAGATTTAACTGGATTTAACATTTTACTGGATTTAACTGAAGGCTAATTTAAAGCCGTATAACAAAGGTAACCATACATGCATAAGATGCATTCTTCTCAGTTACCATGATGAACTAGATATAATCTAAAAACTTGTGAACTATACAAGGTTTAAGCTATAGCAAGATATATTCGCTAAAGATGTAACAGCGCATGAAAAGGTATAGTTGCATTTGTACACCTTGCATGGAAGTTTGTGTTCAAGCTTTAATTGGTTACCTAGTTTAATTAATTAAAATTTCCAGCTATAGTACATGTGCACAGAGACTAATTGTGTATATAATTATAATGATGCTCTACATGTGAAATTTAGATTAAAAGTAACTATTTCAAGTTACATTATATATAATTACGTATATTAATTAAGCATTCTAGCAGTTTCATCTGACTCAAAGGCATTTGGACAAGTGAATTATGTCATCGATGTTCAATATTGATATATTGAATAAGTATACTATAGCTACTTAAATATAAGAATTTTAAAATATAAGAATTTTAATTATGTACATTACATATAGGCCTGGTCCAGCAATTCCTTGCATGTGTTCACTATGAAATCTTACATCTTGTCAACTTTTGTTCTCATTGCTTTGGTAAGTACCGCAACAAAAATGTAATTTTCAAATGCTTCTTAAGGCCCTGTTACACGGTGCAATTTTTCATGCAACTTGTCTCGCAATGGCGTTGCGAGACAAGTTGCACGAGTCATTGCACCGTTTAACATGCCTTGCAATGGTCAAAATCGTTGCGAGACAAGTTGCATGAAGCATTGCAGAGAGTAGAAGTCGGTTCTACTTTTGGCAACAATTGCACTAATTATTTTTAGCATTGCAGCGTGTAACATGGCTTCGTGCGACTTGTCTCGCAATGTTTAATGCTTGGAGAGTTCCTATTGGCTCTCCCCAGTACACGCTTTACTTTAATTAAAATTTGGCGCCAAATTGCGCCTCTCCCTATTCTCTTCGCATGCCTCTGTCCCGTATCGTTGCGAGTTGCATGAATATCATTGCAGCGTGTAACACCTCTTGCAATGCATTATCAAAATCTTTTTTTAAACATTGCGAGACAAGTTGCATGAAAAATTGCACCGTGTAACAGGGCCTTTACTTCCACACGAAGCCTCGAAGGGCGGCGTTCGCTCGGCAAAACATCGCTGGGGAGCATTTTCTATTGTATATTTTAGCATTATTTTACATTTTGACTATCAGTTTTGTAGGAGTTGTAATTATAAATTGCCTTTGGGGCAATTCGTGGAATGGCCAGTTTCTTTTAATTGCACTCTACTTGCATGCACCTACACCACGGTGTTTATTAGCCTAGACCTAGGCCTTCTATTTTTATTATTTTTTAATATTCAGCGCTTGTTCACATGAGAAGACTGAGCCAAAGATACCTGCCAAAGCCAGCCGAGTAAAGGCCTAGGTCTAGGCTGATGCGATGGCGAGTACAATTAGGGATTAACCCGGGCTGGTCCCAGGTTAATTCCTGGACAAGCCCGGCGGCTCGTCCAATTTTGACAATTGAATTTCCAAACATCACGAGTACTATTAATCCCTAATTGTACGAGCAACATCGCATGATTACTTGTTTATTATTAGCATGACAAAATTGGGTAATTCTCAATGTTAACATCATGTCTCTCGCCAATGCTCAGTCCGGCCAGATGTTCAACCAAAATTTGCTGCTTTTGTTCATGTTTTCATTTAGTTATTTTGCTTTAAGTTCCTCTAGGGCAATTTCATTTGTGTTTAAATACCTTTCCGTCATTTGTTTGTTTTGGGAAAATCATTAATTGTACTGCAGTACAATTAATGAAATAATTGTACTCCTCTCAAGCAATCAGCATCCAATAATTTTGTCATGCTAATAATAAATTAAGTAATTACAAATGTGCCATTGAATATTTTTGTAGTAATAATTGTAATTAATTCAAACGCCAGGAAATGTTTAATTTGTGTATACAAAAGAACTATTATTTGAATCTATAGTAGTGTGCTGATAATTAATCACTTGTTGACTTAAAATGTACACATGCTCATATTTTTTTAGGATGTTTCATCTGGAAAACCATTGGCCAAGCCACAGCTTCCAAGTCAGTTCAGACATTCATTATGACCATTCATGCACATTATCCATGCAGTTCTAGACTGATCAGGGTTATATGCATGCATACAACAAAGTTGAAATATTAGTAGTATATAGTAGAAATAATAGGGTTCAGCTCAAGGGAGGAATATATAGATCCATTTTCCAGCAACTTTTTAGACCAAATTCCAAATGTGAATTCAAAGAAAATCCCAGAGCAAGTGAAGTAATATTTCAAATCCGATTATATATGACTGGACTATAGATTTGAAGTCCGCGCAATGTGAGGTGAATTAATTTTGATCCAGTCCAAGGGCAAGGACTGACTTAACTTTGATAAAGTCCTATAGGACTGGGTCCTATAGTCCTATAGTCCTATAGCAAAGGGTTTCATATATGTGTTGACTTTTAAAATGCAATCCTGCGTTCAGTACAAGTTACTCTCTTTTTGCCGAGTTTGGAGCGAATCTACCTGTCATTTTCTGTAATTAATTAAGATGGCTCGATACAGTTTAAAAAAGGAATTTACGATTTAGACCCAATTATTACTTTTCAACATTGCTGATATTTTGATTTTAAAGTCAGATTTAGCTCGATATCGTCACCCCAAATATTTATTTCATAACTGAATTATTTCCCTTAGCATATTGAATTATCTTGACAATACTCACATTATGAGTGACATTTACCTAACATGAAAAGTTTTAGGTCAACAGAATTTTTTAAATTTATCGAAATAATCAATTCAATATGCTAAGATAAATCATTTTATGAAATAAAATTGGGGGTTGCCGATGTCGTTGTCGAGTTAAAATTACTTATAAGTTAAAGTCAAAATATCTGCCATATTGAAACGTCTTGTTGCCATATCAATCAATCAATCAATCAATATTTTATTTAGCACCTAGAAATTTACATATAACTTCTCTTCATTATTAATATATGACATAATATAAAGGTGCAAGCTAACTGTAATAACCTTGTAGGGTTAGACGAGACAGTTAGCTTGTAATTTATTAAATCGAGTGGTGAGAGAATACTTTTATATAATGTAGATATGCGAAATTGTCCACTTATCATCAACCTTTTTCATACAAGTAGCCCTATTTGAGAGAAATTCACACATAAATGGAAAATTTTGAAAATACATGCATATCAGTATACATATATATACACACACATACACACACATGATACATGCATATATATATATATACATATACACAAAACATATTGGGTTTTTGGAAACAAAGCAATTGTGCCAATGTTAAAAGAATACCACAACTTCACTCTAAGTATTTCTCCAGAAGATATTTCTTTAGTTTCTTTTTAAAACATGCTGGTTTAAGTTTCTTTGTTTCATCATCAATTTCATTCCACACTTTCACACCAGAATATCTGATGTTGAATTTTCCGTAATTAGTTCTAATATTAGGAAGGGAGTATGATGATCTTGAAGCAAGTCTGGTATTATAGTTATGTCTTTGATTAACAGGGAAAAAGAATGTATTGAATGCTTCTGGCAAACAGTCATTATGAAAATCATACATAAATATTGCGTTATGATAAAAAAACAAGATCATGTAATTTAAGGATCCCAAGTTTAATAAACAGAGGGCTTGAGTGTTCATAAAAAGTTGAAAATGTCATTAACCTAACTGCTTTTTTTTTGTAAAATATATAAAGGATTAATTGAAGAACTATATGTGTTTCCCAAGCTACTAGTCCGTATATTAGATAAGGATATACTAACGAGTAATACAAGTTTATAAGAATATTACTGTCAACAAAATGCCTTACTCTAGATATGGCCCCGATGTTACGTTTTATTTTTTTCGAAACTTTTGAAATGTGTGCTTTCCAATTCAAATGACAGTCAATCACAACTTCCCGGCCATAGTAACGTCCCTGCTGCATGCCATAAAAACGTCATTGTTGCCTTAGACTTAGTTGTACAACTTTTGTGAAAGAATTCGAACTTTTTTTACACAAATAAAATATTCTTTGTTTTTAAACAAGTATAATAATTGTTCAAAAATACGCGGAACCGATCTCAATGATGCAACACTAAGGCAGCGTTTACACTGTACCGTTTTCGTAGCGTTCTCGTATTGTTCTTAATCCTCAAGGGAACGCAAGACAATAGTCTAGTTCTCTCGAACAATACGAGAACGCTACGAAAAGCGTTCTCGTATTGTTCGAGAGAACTAGACTATTGTCTTGCGTTCCCTTGAGGATTAAGAACAATACGAGAACGCTACGAAAACGGTACAGTGTAAACGCTGCCTAAGGCTATGTTTACATTGTATCGGATCACTTTGCGTCCGACGCAAAAACCATACCGGATAGGGCTTCTGTTTACATATGAAATGTTGTTATCGTCTCAATTTCTGCAACGGACCGGTGGTGCGGCGGTTCGCTCTTCGAAGTGGTGCGCGATGTATCGGATCGCTTTTTGCAACGCTCTCACTGTAATGTAAACACAAATCGGAGCAATTTTCGGTTCAATACGTGACTCAAGATGGCATCTGGGAAACAAAGACTTGCTATTCTAATCTTATTCGCGGGTATAGCTTGCTCACTTATAATATTTTTGTATTTAGATGGACGAGGGCGGAAGCTGTTTACACTTGGGCCGTAACGTTTCGTGAACGAAGCAAAAACCGATCCGATACAATGTAAACATAGCCTTAAGACACTATACTTACCACAGTATATATACGAACACATGGACAATTTCGATTAACTTTCTAATTTTAGACTTAGGAAATAACGTTTTAGTATTAGTATAGGTATTAGAGCTAGCGTTAACCAGTTATACAAATAATTTTATATTATGAGCCCTATAATAAGTACAAAGTAACATAGTTGAAGGGTCTTGTAACTTCTTGTAGCTGTAGTTGGAAATTATCGACTGGAAATTTATATACATTTATTAGACCTCTCAATTAAGAGCAAAAAGATTTATGAGATCAGTAAATCGCTTTTATGTACTTCGGCTATAATGTGGTAACTTGGCTATTTGTGTGGCTGGTCATTTGCAAGGAGTGGGTTTAACCACTAATTTTAAGAATAGGGTTGCAAATTACAAATCGCATATTAAACACTTTTTGGATCGTCATAACGCTGATCACTCGACTTTGAAATTTATGCTCTTTGATCAGCGTGATGACAGTTTGAGAGAGGGGGAAAACTTCTGGATTGGTACGTTGCTTACAAATCAAGGGGTTTAAATTAGCAGAACTGCAGTTCTCAATGAATCTAAACTTGATCCGTATATAGGTTTGTTAAAGTGTTAATTACTGAAATATCCATCTATACAACTATTATGGTATACAATTAAGTTTCCCTTTCCTATTTTTGTGTCTATATCATTCCCAATCCCTGCATGCAGTAATTCAGTTTAAATTGAATGAAAAAAATGATTTCGTCAGACAGTTGCGCTAAATTTTAAATTATAAGTTATCCCTGAACATTGCATGGTGCATGAGTTTGATAAGAAGCGTTGCAAGAGCAAAATATGGTGGCAGGTAAAATGTTGACACAAATTATAATTATTTCCATTAAATACTATATATACTTCCGCATTCACAGTGAAATGAATTAACTTATTTTCTCAGACTCTCTTATAATTGCATTAATGCAATTGTACATAGTACATGTATAGTTGTGTACCATGACATATTGCACAAGCTAAATAATGGTTTGTATAAAACCATCCATAAAGTCAACACATTGCGCCATATATTAGGGTCACTTTATTTACTTTTATGTCGTTTCCTTTCTTGATCAGTTCTTTACTTCTGAATTTATTTAGTTACATTTCCCATACCATTCACCATACGTCCACCATGCATTGGTGAGCAATTTTGCATCCGAATTTGCCCCAATGGCTTTGTTGTCCTAGGTAGCTGTGAATGCCATTGCACAGGTAAGTACGCAACTTAAATACGGGGCAAATGTCCATGTTAACAACCTCAATTTGACAATTCTAATCCTGATCATAGCCTCTATTTTGCCAACCCAAACCCCAACCAACCCTTATCCTGATCCTAATCCTATAACATGCATGTAATCTTCCTCATAGGCGTGCAAGGCGGTGGCTAGGGGCCCCCAGTCAGTATGTTTAGTAAGGCAGATTCTACTTAGAAATCAGGGCAAGTTGCAAATTAAGGCCTGCCAGTATAAGGCGAAATTTTCGACTTGCAAAATACATGAGACACAAGACTATTGGAGTTTTACATGCATGCGTGGACGATGTGCATGATCATATATGATTGACAGATTAGCTCATAAATTTCGCAATTGCTTCTGTGGCAACAACACATGTATCTTATAGAGTCGTTTAAAAACTCATTTGCTCTTGTTTTTTGCTGATTTTTGTCAACAAATGGCAAATGAGATTATTTTTATCTCAAGAATTTCTCACACCCATCGCAGTTTGCAGTCAAATTGACGAGCGTATAATTATGTTAATTCGCGTGGTTGAATAGGCTTTTGAAATGTTTTCCAAAAAGCGTAGTAAAAAATGTCACAGTGTCAGGGCCGTCGCTAAGGCGGTGTTGGGGTGTGACATCCCCCTCAAAACTAGTTGTCAGCAACAGCTGTAGAGGTCTAATTACCTATCTCTAAAATACTGTACAATATGTGGCACATATTGTACAGTATTTTAGAGATAGGCAATTAGACCTCTACGACAGTGGTATTGAAGTTTATGAAAGTGAATTGGTGATGTTTTATGATTATTTTTGGCAGCCCCTCTTTTTTGCCCCCAACATTTTTGCCAGCCGCCCTTAGATGTTCATAAATTTTTCGTGGCCCCTCCAACTATCTTCTGACAAATTTGTTTCGAGACATACATTCAGCAAGTGCATGGTCATGTATTTCGCGCCTACATGCACGTAGAACTGAACTTTGCATATAACTGAATTATACTTCACAAACTTCGGTCGAAATATATGGGAAACAAATGGTATGGCTTGCTATGCCTTGGCTCTTGCCCACGCTTAAGCGCTCCGGAACCGGAAATAAAAAATAAAAACCGGAAATCCCGTGATCACCGTGAACCAATAATACCGCCGAACCCTGGTGTTTCGTCGGCTATTTTTAACGTCCCAGCAACAACACCAAAGGGTCGGGTAAATGAAACCCTGAAAAGTTTCTGGATATTCTGGGTGTGCCCATATATTTCTCCCTCCGTTTGCTCGTATAATCATAATTACACTAACAGGCCTTATAAGGCTTTTGTGTAATTGGAATTATATTTCACAAACTTCGGTCGAAATATATGGGAAAACAAATGGTAGATTTTAACGCACATATATGCTACAAGTAGATTATCAATATAACTCAACTTATAATTTCATATAACTCATAATTTCGGTTTATAATAAAACCGTTGAAATGCATGTTGATGTCCAATCGCCCATCTTGAGAATGTCATCTAATGATAGATGTTTCTTGGCTGCATCGGATGTCGAAGCAGCCCTAGTTGAATGAGCTTTAAATATTGCAGAGCCTATTCCAGCAGCTATATGAGTACATCGCATAACCATCTCGTCATAGAAGCTTTCGCAACAGGGCGATGTGGTCGTTGAAAAGACAGGAAAAGTTTGTTACTGCCTTCAGATAAACGGAATTTCTCAGTAACTTTTAAGTATAGGTTTCTAAACAATCACATGGACAGAGTGTTACGTCTTGTACGAATCGTGGAAAGGTTACTGTCGCCAGGGACACAGGGTCCCCAGACTTTCGTGGTTTGGTTAGCGTCAATACTACACCATCCGGTTGCTTTTTTAAATATCTGATATCCAATTCCCAAAGAACAGACGATCGTTCAGGTGATACTAAAGCTAATAGCATTAGTAATTTCTTTGTTTAACTTAGTAATTTAAGCGATAATGTCCCAAGGACATTTTAAGCGACAATGTTTCTCCCAAGGCCGACAGGTATGTCGTGATCTTGGATATGTCCCAGGTGGTAGTATATCGGGGTTTGGAGATCTTTCATTTGCAATTATATTCCCTTCATTAAGCGAGGGACGAGAGGGTGCTGACCCACTGGTTTATCCTCAATCCAAGGGTTATTGATGATATAGCCGAACGGAGAACATTTACCGTACGATACTGTAAGTTACTGTCAAACTGGTCACTGAGGAAAGTCAAAATGTCTTTGACATTGGCTGAAATTGGATTAACTTTCCTTCTATTACACCGGCTATTCCATTTTGTCCATGCACAATCATATGCTTTGTTGGTGGACTGACGTGTAGCTGAGGATAGAAGATGGGTAGCTGTGTTCGAAAGTGCAGAGTTGTCGGGTGCATGGGATGTATCGCTCTGGGGTTCGATGGATCTTCTAGGAGAGCTGGAGAAACAGGGAGAAGTACTGGCTGCTTGACTGTGAGTTGTAATAGTAATGGCCACCAATGTTGAGTTTGCCACACTGGGGCTACTAGTACTATGTTCGCGTTGTCGTTTATCACTTTCATTAATGTTCGTGGGATGAAGTTGAATGGTGGGAACGCGTATCCTTTCAGTTGGCTCCAATCTATGGAAAACGCGTCCGTGGCCACAGCATGTGGGTCTGCATGGGCGCCAACTCACATAATGCTTTAACTGATTGGTTATAGCCTTGTGGTAGGGCTCGGAACTGATAAGTTTGTCCTTGCCAAATAAACCGAAGGAACTGTTGCGTGTGTGGGTGAACACCCACCGTTAGATAGGCGTCCTCCAGGTCTAATTTAACCATATAATCGTTTGGATTTAAGAGGTGTTTCAAGCACATTAAATTCAAGCACATTCAAGCACATTTGGAAATGTTTGTTCGTTATAAATTTGTTCAGGTGACTTAAGTCGATGCCTGCATGGGCGAAATGAGCCTCCTTTCTTGGGCACAAGGAATCGATGACTGTAAAACCCCACGGATGTGGGCTGGACGGGGGCAATGGCTCGCTTTTGTACAAGTTTGTCTATTTCTTGTTACATTAAAGTTACATTTCCCCCTGTAGCCGAGGTTTTTGGCAAATGCTTTTGCCAAGATTTTGTGTGAAAATCTATTTGATACCCGCGAACTATAGCTATGATAACCGGGTCTTTTGTAATTTTTTGCCATTAAGAAAGGAACAGTGGTAGTCTTGCAGTAGGGTTGTTTATTGGCAGTACCAGCTGTTGCTTTGCTGGCCACGTTGGTTTCGAAATTGCTGTTTTGCCCAGGCCTCGAACCTCTTTGCCCAGATGCGCCACGAAAGGGCTGTTTAAGTTGAGCCTGTGGGTAACTATATCTTTGTGGTGTGTTATGCACTTGTTTTGGGTTCTGTCTCGAATTTTGTGGCTATATTGTGGTTTCTGCAGATTTGCTGCTTGGCCGTCAAAGGTGGTTGATCGTCCCCAAAAAGCATTTTTCCCGCGTTGGGAAACTCGTTGTCTGCCAACTGGATTTTGTCTGGGTTAATAGCGCCCAAAATTTTCTTTATACTCGAGTTATCGTAGTAATGTGGTTCGCTGATCCTGGCAGGCATAAGGATTGTTGTAGAATAGTCAACAATTCCTCATTTGAAACATGGTCTTTTCGTTCAAGACGGTCATGCAAACAACATAGGGGTGAGGCCGAATTTAGCAAGGCGCGTTGAATAAGACTTAAAAGTCTTTGTCTCGATTTTCAACCCTTTTGCGGCGGCCGTTTGGTACATATAATTTAGAATTTTTTTGTCTAGATAAGGTGCAACACATCCATCTGTCTCAGGTAGGGAGTTTTCCCCTATAATTTCATTCACCTGGTCGACTGTCAGGCGTCGTTTTAGGTTCTTTTCCAAAAACGCACGAAAGGGCTCGGAATTAGGAGACCATTTTCGAAGAGAAGTATCCTCTGGGTCGAAGAATTCACACGACTGTTCAGGGACCTGGTGACAATTTCAGGTCTTTCTTTGGACACATTACTGTGACTATAATCCGACCTAACGTCGGATAAAGGTGGCTCAGAGCCAGCTAAAGGTGCCTCAATGGCGTTTGTATTGTCTTGTGACAGTTGATCGACTTCGTCAAAAGTCAAAGGTGAAGTCGGCGGGTCTTCGTCGGTATTCGCTTGGAAAACAGATGAGTTTTGATTCAACTGATTCTCGATGACACTAACTCGTGTCGTCCAAGCGACAAATTCTTTCTCTATATCGTCCATACTTGTAAGTACTTTTGCAATATTTCGTTTACGCTCGAGTTATTTTCCCCTCGATTTTCCCGCTTTCGACTTCGTTTCCGTTTATGTCGATCTTCTCGCCTAGAATCTTCGGGAGAAGGAGTACGACGACGTTTTCAACCAGACGAATCGGACATGCTTGTGAATTAAACGAAAAGTGAGCGAAAAAAGCAAAAATTTCAAGCTAAAAACAAGAGAAACTTACCTGAGCGCTTTATACACGTGAGCGAGCACGAAGGAAAAAGCCGATGAGACTCTATAGGGTTCGGCGGTATTATTGGTTCACGGTAATCACGGGACCGGATGTGTTTTTTACTTTTATTTCCGGTTCCGGAGCGTTCAAGCGTTGGCAAGAGCCAAGGTATAGCAAGCCATACCATTTGTTTTGCCATATATTTCTCCCTCCGTTTGCTCGTATAATCATAATTACACTAACAGCTATAGGCCTTATAAGGCCTTTGTGTAATTGGAATTTTATACCTCATTGCTCATTGCATGTATAAAATATTGCATGCACGTTTTCTGTTTGACTAGCATTGCTAATTTTCATTTCTTTTCAATTCAGACGTTCCTGGCAATCCAACGGCATAACAAAGCAGCATGAAATATTGCAGACGAATATATGCAGTTTATAGTTGAGATTATATAATATACAGCTATAAAATTAATAAAAGTTTTCACTAATTCTATTTTTTTCTGTGAACGTACTGTTGTATTATTATCACTATCAGTCAACCGATAAAATCAATAAATGCATGTCTGTACATGAAGTATTATTTGCTATTATTATATAAAGTATAGTGCTTTATAGAGATTTCGAGCACTGATAAAAGTGATAATCTCACATGTGAGATTATTCATGATAATCTCACAAGTGAAAATTATCGCTTTTCAATTATCGCTTTTCTGTAAAAATTATCGCTTTTCAAAGACTGTCCTTTATATAATAAACAGAAAAATACAAGGGTGCTTGGAAATACCAGATTTATTTCTCGTGTTGAACATGATATCTCACTCGTTCGCTGCGCTCACTCGTGAGATTCATGTTCAACACTCGAAATAAATCTGGTATTTCCGCGTACCCATGTATTATTCTCTATTTAATATTCTTTCAGGTATAACCAGGTCAGTCTATTAACTTTTGATTTAACAATAGGCCTACTAATTATAATAAACATGCATGTAAAGCGCGGCCTTCATGGACATGTGCCTTTTTTATTTTTCAATTTCGTTCAGTTCGAAGCACACCCCGTTTACATGGGACCGGACGAATTTGGGAGGATCGGTCTGAAATCACTCTTCACTCTTCTATTATATATATATATATATATATATATATATATATATATATATATATATATATATATATATATATATATATATATATATATATATATATATATAATCTTGGTTGAGCTATTCTTGTATGAGCTATATATCAACTCACCTACGGCCAGTATAGGGAAAAACAACACGAGGGCACGAAAACTGCAAGAGTATGAAGCAAAAAAGGAAAATATTCGCTTTAAGGTTACAGAACACCTTTGAGTGTTAATTTTGCCTAAATTTTTTTTATTGGTTTCCATGAAAGCATTAGACTAGTTCTACTATCTGACCAAGTTTGAACAAAAAAAGTTGAAAACTCACAAAGTTATTTAATAAAATACATTTCGCTGCAATAAGAAAAACATTGAAAATGTAATATTCAAATTCAATTTTCTCCCGAAGAATTTTACGGCAATTACTGATTTTCAAACGAGTTGTGCTCCTGCGGGTTTTAACGAATTTTTCTCAAATTTTCACAGGACATAGCTAAAGACGTCAGTTTCAAAATCGTGTTCGGCTTTGTTCTAAGTTTGGATATTTTAATAATAAGGAGCAATTCACACAAACGATTCAGAAATATATTGCAGTCATCAAAGAAATCGCCATATCAGCGGAATGACGAAATAAACAAAAATTTCCGAACACAATTTTTTAGAACAACTATTTTACTGTATAAAAATGATATTTTCATAAATATATCTTAAAACCAGCCGGAACATAACTCAAAAGCGTAAAGGTACCGCGATTTAAGATTTTCCTGAATAATTCTTACATTATTTTATTTGTTTGTCAATTTTACAACTTTACCATATTTTGCATGTACTGGCTAACATTTGGTGAAAATTTGATGAAAATCGGACTGATTTTGAGCGCGCAGTAGCGATTTTCCACAAAACGCCAAAAAGGGTGCCCTGTAACCTTAAGTGCTTCTTCATTCATATTGCTTTCATCAGAAATCAAAATATGTGGAACTCCACAAGAAGATTGCAGTGAATTTGCGACATGTGCTGACACAGGACCTGGAACCTATACATGTACATGTAATGAAGGATATACTGGGAATGGAAAAACTTGTGAAGGTAAGAAAATATTATTTCGCTTTGGCAAAACGGACACAAAATATCATTCTCGCTTTTCTTCTTTCCGAAAGATGAACTTTATTTCCGCAAATTATTGTATATAATTTACTCACAGCCTATCGAAGGGAAGATGGCTGTGAACCTCATTAGAATAACAATATAACTCATTATCTATGTTGGTCGACGTTTATTCATCAATCGTGTCCTTCACCGTCACGTGTGTATTGTATTCTTTCCCAACTAACCAATAGCAATGTTTTAGGAAAGTCATCTATCCGTGACTAGAACAATAGGGAAACTGGAAATTGCTATTGGTGGATTTGATAAAAATACAATACACACGTGACGGTGAAACGACCAGATTTATGAATAAACGTTGACTAACATAGATAATGAGTTATATTGTTATTCTAATGAGTTTCACAGCCATCTTCCCTTCGATAGGCTATGATTTACTTGGTTTTAGTTGTCAAAGCTACTTTGGTTGGAAAATTTAGCTCTTTCCCCAACGATTTTGTTTTGTTTACTAATTAATTTCTCTTGCCTTCCCCAGAAATCAAAATATGTGGAACTCCACAAGAAGACTGCAGTGAATTTGCCACATGTGCTGACACAGGACCTGGAACCTATACATGTACCTGTAACGAAGGATATACTGGAGATGGGAAAACTTGTCAAGGTACGATTTGGCATCTTTTTAAAACAAACCTCATTGTAAAATCAAAATTCGTTTTTGCTAACTCGGAATTTAATTAAACCATTGTGGCTACATCCAATGACAGTTACTAGGTTACAAAGTTAATGCAATTGTAGTTATGTTGAGTTCTTCTTCATTCATATTGCTTTCATCAGAAATCAAAATATGTGGAACTCTACAAGAAGATTGCAGTGAATTTGCGACATGTGCTGACACAGGACTTGGAACCTATACATGTACCTGTAATGAAGGATATACTGGGAATGGAAAAACTTGTGAAGGTAAGAAAATATTGTTTCGCTTGGGCAAAACGAACACAAAATATCATTCTTGCTTTTCTTCTTTCCGAAAGATGAATTTTATTTCCGCAAATTATTGTATGATTTACTTGATTTTAGTTGTCAAGACTATTTTGGTTGGAAACATTAGCTCTTTCCCCAACGATTTTTGTTTACTAATTAATTTCTCTTGCCTTCCAAAGAAATCACAATATGTGGAACTCCACAAGAAGACTGCAGTGAACTTGCAACATGTACTGACACAGGACCAGGAACTTTTACCTGTACCTGCAACGAAGGATATACTGGAGATGGGAAAACTTGTCAAGGTACGATTTGGCATCTTTTTAAAACAAACCTCATTGCAAAATCAAAATTCATCTTTACTAGCACTGAATTTAATTAAACCATTGTGACCACATCCACGGACAGTTACTACTGTAGGTTACAAAGTTAATGCAACTGAAAGTTATGTTAAGTGCTTCTTCATTCATATTGCTTTCATCAGAAATCAAAATATGTGGAACTCTGCAAGAAGATTGCAGTGAATTTGCGACATGTGCTGACACAGGACCTGGAACCTATACATGTACATGTAATGAAGGATATACTGGGAATGGAAAAACTTGTGAAGGTAAGAAAATATTATTTCGCTTTGGCAAAACGAACACAAAATATCATTCTTGCTTTTCTTCTTTCCGAAAGATGAATTTTATTTCCGCAAATTATTGTATGATTTACTTGATTTTAGTTGTCAAGACTACTTTGGTTGGAAACATTAGCTCTTTCCCCAACGATTTTTGTTTACTAATTAATTTCTCTTGCCTTCCAAAGAAATCACAATATGTGGAACTCCACAAGAAGACTGCAGTGAACTTGCAACATGTACTGACACAGGACCAGGAACTTTTACCTGTACCTGTAACGAAGGATATACTGGAGATGGGAAAACTTGTCAAGGTACGATTTGGCATCTTTTTAAAACAAACCTCATTGCAAAATCAAAATTTATCTTTACTAGCACTGAACCTAATTAAACCATTGTGACCACATCCACGGACAGTTACTACTATAGGTTACAAAGTTAATGCAACTGAAAGTTATGTTAAGTGCTTCTTCATTCATATTGCTTTCATCAGAAATCAAAATATGCGGAACTCTACAAGAAGATTGCAGTGAATTTGCGACATGTGCTGACACAGGACCTGGAACCTATACATGTACATGTAATGAAGGATATACTGGGAATGGAAAAACTTGTGAAGGTAAGAAAATATTATTTCGCTTTGGCAAAACGAACACAAAATATCATTCTTGCTTTTCTTCTTTCCGAGAGATGAATTTTATTTCCGCAAATTATTGTATGATTTACTTGATTTTAGTTGTCAAGACTACTTTGGTTGGCAAAATTAGCTATTTCCCCAACGATTTTGTTTTGTTTACTAATTAATTTCTCTTGCCTTCCCAAGAAATCAAAATATGTGGAACTCCACAAGAAGACTGCAGTGAATTTGCCACGTGTGCTGACACAGGACCTTCCTTCCATAGCTGTACCTGTAACGATGGATATACTGGAAATGGAAAAACTTGTGAAGGTCAGATAATTTTTCTTACTTTTTGCATGAGTTAATTTTAAATAGTATTAGGGCAAAATGTTATCCCTGGCCAGCTTTCTTTTTTAGTTGTTGAAGACCATTTATGTTAGGTTGGCAGAATTTCTAAGATCTAAGCACTCTTTTGTCCATTAGAAATCAAAGTATGTGGAACTTCACAAGACGATTGCAGTGAATTTGCTACATGTGCTGACACAGGACCTGGATCCCATACCTGTACCTGTAACGAAGGATATACTGGAGATGGAAAACAATGTTCAGGTAAGAACCCCAAAACAATAACGATTCCGGAACTGCATGTAAAAACCAAATGTGCTACCTCAAGTGTCACCAAAGTTATATCGGAAGCACTATAAGTTTTCCAATTTAGCTTTTATTTCATTCTATCTCAGTCTTAGACTCTTTTAGAACAATTAGTTTTATCGTTAATTGTCCAACTTCGTCTTATTTTATTCTAATTCACACCAAAACATGGTCACTGAACTCTTCACTCCGCCCATGCTTAGGCATATATACAGTAGTGTGCTGGCCATCACTCTCGTAGTTCTGATGATGTTGTAGTACAACGAAAGCTTAAAGTGCCCGTAACCCCAAAATTGATTTTCGGCTTATTAAAAGCATGGATAATAAAATAAATGGATAGGAAACTAGCTGACGTGACCTAATGTTTCCAATGGGCTGATCCCGGATGGCGTGGTTGGCCGGATCTTGGATGTTCAAACCTAGTTGCAAACCAAATTCTAAGATGAAAACTCTAAGTATTCCCAGTCAATTTTAGCAAATATTTCAAGCACTAAACAGTGAATTTCGTTAAAATTTGTGACGCCAATTTCGTAGCTACATATGTAAAAAAAAACAAAAAAAAAACCGTCCTGACCGCGTAGCTCAGTTAGCAGAACACTGGACTAGTATTCCAAAGGTCGTAGGTTCGATTCCCACCGTGGCCGGGAATATTTTTCAAGCTCGCCCGGTGTGGATATACACTCAGAGTAACATCACAAACATCATATTCACCTGAGTACACAACACCAACACAGAAAAAAAGATGAAAAACATTTACCTTGAATACTTTGTCGTGGCTTAGGCATGTTTAAAACAATTAGACCAGTTTATGCTTCAAATATCACCCTTTCAAAGTGGAAAATATAGCAAAACAACAAAAATGCCGAGAACTTTGGTAATATTCGCAATACGCGTGACGTCACGTTTTTCAACAAGGATGAGTCAATGACGTCAGGAAGTTTCCTATCCAGTTATTTTACAATCCATGTTAAAAGTATGCTATGAGTGTAGTAGTTTCGCGAAAACATTTTTGCTTTTTGTTAAAAAGCAAAAATTTTAGAGCCACTTGAACCTGCTTATATTGCGATTTTACTTTTGCTAGATAGTATACTTCAAAATAAGGTTTCCGTTTTTATATCAATTTTGAAAATAATTAAAATAAGTTAGGGTTAGGTTAGGGTTAGGTTGGGGTTAGGGTGAAGGTTAGTATTAGGGTTAGGGTTGAGTTTTGCGTTAGGATAGTTTTTTCTACGTTATAAAAACGGAAACCTTATTTTGAAGTATACTATCCAGCGATCACCATTTTACTTGGCACATGGCCGTCGGAATATCTAACTGCTTGAAGTCTGGATCGAGCATTATTTCTGGCGTCACGCCAGTTAGTTGTGGTTTCAGCAGGTGCGGACTTGTATGTAAATTTCAGGGGCCGGTTGTATAAAAAAGTGATTGCAGTTAACTATAGTTAGTGGAAACGTCATGCAATAAGAAGCGCGTGTTTGAGAGTTAATCACTATTTAACTACAAAATAATGATTAAAAAGGTGATTAAGAGTTTTATACAACCGGCCCCAGGATAACAAGACGCTCCACGGAACGTTGGCCGATAGGACTACGGAAATATGCAGTTTAAAAAAATATTTATCCTTGAAGTTTACAGTTTGCCTGGCAGTTTTCTCAACAATAACAAGTATCGTATTAAATTGCAACGGAAATAAATTGGCCTGGTATAGTGATCTGTGGCTGTATAATAGCGTGTTTGTTTTGTCGAAAATCATGATTTTCCAAGCTTACCGTTTGCTCCATCTGTTATGTAAATTTATGTTCTAAAACGCATTCGCTATATTATTTGCACTGGAATCGTAAATTTTGTGTCATTATACTGCCATTTGACATGTGCTTGAGAGTACAAAGTATTCGTTGCCCACTCTAACTCTAAGAAATACATGCGCACTTCACAAGAACACTTTCCCGTTAAAACACAATTATACTTTGATCGTGAAATGACTAAAATACACAGGCGTGTCATCTAGTGATCCGAACTTTGTGGTGTCCGAATAGTGCACCAAATTGTATAGACGGCCGGCCAAAACCGGAAAATGTGCAACAAAATTTGTTTGATGGCATTTTCGGTTACTCACAAGCTGCCAACTGACATTTTCATAGAGTATATGCATTAACGAACAAGACTAGACATGTTGGCAACTCTAATTTTGGCTTTATAGATGAAAATTTGAGAATATGAAAATTTTATCTATAAAAAGTACTATATGAGAAAAATGCAAAATTACAGGTTCACATTTAACAAAAATAAATTATACCATTAAAAAGTTCGCAAAAAAGTATATATAAGACATTTAAGCGAGTAGTATGATTTTTGTAGCCAATTTTGTGCTTTTAGCACTGGAAAATGAAAAAAAAAACGCCAATTGAAGCCGATAGTTACTACTTTGCCAACTTTAAGCTCCTTTAACTCAAAACTGGCTTGAAAATTCGCACTACTCGCCTAAATGTCTTATATATACTTTTCTGCGATCTTTCTAATGGTATAGATTATTTTTGTGAAAAATGAACTTGAAATATTGTATTTTTAGTCAACATAGTACTTTATTAGGCAAAATTTTAAAATTCTGAAATTTTCAACTATAAAGCCAAAATCAGAGGTGCCAACATATATAGTCTTGTTCACCAATGTGTAAGCTATAAGAAAATACCAGTTGACAGCTTGTAACAAAAAATGCCATCAGAGTGTACATTTCAGAATGTTGGCCGGTCGTCTAGCAAGATGTAAATTCGTCATATAATCGGTATGTGGCAATAAAATATTGCCGCATGGACAACTTAAAAGCATAACACAACATATTTTACCCTTGGTGGATCGATCAGCGTGGTATAGAAACCATGGCAAAGTTTCATAAACTTGTGATAATGCAAAAAATGTTTCGCAAAACTGTTCCACTGGTAGCATACTTTTAACAAGCTGAAAATCAATTTCGGGATTACGGGCACTTTAACTCATTCTAATAAGATATTTTATCAAGCAGTAGCTACTCGGCATCATTTGATTGTAACCTTTTTTATTGAACATGTTTCTGAAGGACAACTTTATTAGATTAAGATAGTAGATTAATGTTTATTTATTTTGGTTTCGCTTTTGGTAATGTTGACTTTGTTATATTCAACTTGCGATTATCTGTCCGCATAACGGATTTGATTTCTTTGTCAGTTATTATAAAATGAATCTTGTCTTGTGGGCCACATTCTATATAATAACTGGTGGTGTAGTGTAATATAGTAAACATAGTATTGTTGTTGAAGTCATTATTAATGCTTATTATATATTAATTATTAAAAATTTAGTCTTTTCTTACACTTTAGCTCTATCGTTCCATTTTGATCAGTTATTTTTCGTACATAAGAACAAATGTGTTTTTGCACTTTTTCTTATAAAGAAATAAAGATTTGCGGTACAGACGAAGATGATTGCCACATGTATGCTGTCTGTGCAAACACTGGTCCTGGACAGTATTCCTGCACTTGTATCCAGGGATACACTGGAGATGGAAAGAACTGCGTAGGTCTGTGTTCCACTGAAATTTAGATGACATTTTAACGTTTTCAATTACTTTAACATACAAGTTATACAGTTAGCACAATAATTCTTTCGACTGCCAAAACGTTACTTGTATATCAAGGTTTTAAATCCTATATTATACGGTTCTGTGGTTACAGCCTTGTTTCCACTTGTTTCCAATATTTCCCACTACACAATTATGATAATATTTAGAGACCTGATTACCTCACTAATCGTGATATCAAAAATACTACAAAACAGTGAGGTTATGTATGTGTTACACACCTGCATATTTTGTTTGAGGTTAGCAATCTCACAAAGATGTGCATTTTTTTGGTAGACCAATGGTAGAATATTTTAGATCATACTAACTTAGTAACTTTTCTAATCCCGTCTCGTTTAATTAAAGGTCCTGAAATTCACGGTCCCATCCTATTTGATGTTACTCCTGAAAATCCTTCAACCATCAGTGCAGCTTGGCGACCTCCAGCAGAGATAATTGAATTGGATATAATTGAATACTCAGTTTGTTACACAGATGTGAGCAATGGAGACAAACTATGTAAAACGACCACACCAACCACCCCAGATGGTCCAGTTAATATTCACCTTACAGATGTAATTGAAGACACTACCTACGAAGTTGTCGTGACAGCAAGAAACGCGTCTGGTTATGGCCCGCCATCAAATGTCATGATCGTGAAAACTCCTGTGTCACGTAAGTGTTATACTAACCGTTTTTAGTGCAAAGTTGCTTTGCACTATTGTTATGAGAAAAATTCAATCCAGTGACCGATCAATGGATCGATGGATGGATCGATCGAGTAAACAATCTGGGGGGAGCTTGCAAATGATTTTTGATTGCGTTTTCTAGAGCTTCGTGACGTTCGGCCTGCAACTAATCGTTTCTAGCTGTTTATAGATTATAAAAATCTATATTTATATTCATGATGGTACATGTTCTTACTTATTTTATCCAACATTTAGAGAATTTATAACCAAATTACTGTTACATTTCAAGCACTTGTTATTATATTATTTGCCCCCCTGCAACATAAAACAAATGAATTGAATCAATTAATACACGTGCTCTCATATAATATCATTTTACAATGGCGGGCATAATGGACGAGCGGTGACTATATTGAGCGGCGGTGTAAAATCGTGTAGACTCGAGTGTATTACAACTGAGGTTGACAGTATTATGGGAAAATCTTTGAGATTCTACGCAATATATAAATTGATGTTATGTATTACCGGCATTCAATTAAATGCCGATATTATTTAGGCGCTACACCACTGAGAAACCACAAGAGCCTGTTAGGGGCTGATTACATGGAGAGCAGTTTGAGCCCAGGCTGAGTTTACTCAGAGCTATATTTATAGTCAACCGGGGCTGAAATGTCAGCCCGGGCTGAAATAATCTGAGTGTCACGAAATAGGACAATACGCCTGTTACGCTTCTTTGAAGCAATCAGACGCTGGTTCGTCGACTATTTGATTTGTGTGAGACTAACAAACACGCAAAATAACGCCATTTAAACGGTTGTTTTTTTAGCCCGGGCTGAAATTATTTGCGATTACATGCTGCCGAACTATCGGGCAGCTCAAACCGGGCTGAAATTTCAGCCCGGGCTGGAATTTTGGTCATGTAATCGCTTGCTGTGTGTTAATTAACGTTAATAGGATTTTATCCTTAGGCCGGGCTGAAATTTACAGGAAACCGGGCTGAAAACTCTCCATGTAATCAGCCCCTAAAGCCGGTTTTCCACTTCAAGCGTACGCACCGAAACGTATCAAAAACGATTTTAAATTTCAAAATTTCGTGAATGTTGATTGGTTAGTATTTCCGTAGTACGCAAAAAAGTTGACTTGCGACGAACTTTTTATTCTGATACGCGAATACACCCGGAAGTACGTGGATTTATAAACCTCTTTCAATGTGCGCATGCTCACCAGTACGTTTCGGTACGATACGGGCGAAGTGGAAAACCGGCTTAATACTCTGCTGAATTGCTGAAACCACGCATACAGCACGTGCGTGTTTGGCTCTCTAAATATAGAAATGATTATAGGGTTCAGAGGACATGGTGGAAAAGACGGAGTGCGGAGTATAGAGTTCGGAGTCTGTCAAAGCAGTTTATTTTTCCTAAAGATTCGATTTTAATGACACTCCGCGTTTTCCACTTTATGGGGGCATAAAGTGGAAAACGCGGGGTCTGTAAAAAAATGCGTTTTCCACTTTATGCCCCCATACACTTGCAGTGTCTTTCTCAAATGCACTCTCCTTGGATCCTAGTTCCTTTAAGAAATAATTGTGCGATCCTTTCCAGCAGGATTTACATTCCACAACCTGTCACTAATAGACTTTGAGAGTAATGCATTTTAGAATTTAAATTTTTATACACCACTCTATTGCGAATGACATTGCTCAAGATTTGTTTTTTTGGAAAGTCTACAAACGCCTAGGGGTGAAAAGACAATGGGATTCTAATAATTATAATCACGAGATACGCGAAAACCAGTAGCTCGTCTTTGTTGATCAGACCAAATCAATTTTTCTTAGCTCTTAATCATGCAGTTGTTTCCGTACCCTGTTGCTTCATTTTAACACATTTACAGTATTGTTAAATTTTTCTGTCTTTAGCTGACTCATGCGATAAAAAGACAGATACGATTTTCGTGGTAGATAGATCATCGAAAATAAGTAAAGCTGGTTTTAATAAGATTCGCTCATTTATCCGAAGTGTTGGAAAACGCCTTCGAATTGGTGTGAAGAACGAAAAGAAAGAAATTATTGGCCAAGGTGCTATAGTGACATTTAGTAATGAGGGTGAAAAAATCATTACTCTTAAAGATAGTAGAACTCCTGGGAGATTCGTTAAGGCTGTACGGTCTATGCCAGGCCCATTATCTAATGGCACTACTAAAACTCATCGAGGTTTGGAAGTTGCTTATCGACAAGTTGCTGTTGTTGGCGAAGGTTTGCGTGCCCGTGATGATAGTGTCCATAAGGTGGTTGTAGTAATTGCCAACGGTCATCAGACTCGAGAGAGGAATGGCTATGTATATGTCGGTGATGCAGTGAAACCATTCTTTAAACGTGGTATAGATGTCATTGCAATTGGTGTTGGTCTTGAAACAGAAAAAGCAAAAGAACAGCTTACTGATATGGTCCGAATTCCTGAAAATGCTTTCTTTGTGAATCACCACAGTAATTTAAGTTCTGCTATGAATAAAATTGTGTCACGAGTCTGTCCAAGTAAGTTGGTGATATATAATATTGTAATATCATGAATGTAGTATTGATTTCAAGCCTACATTTTTTTCATTGCAAAACTAAATGTAAAATTTGCTGCGAATAGGTAGGTTTCAGAGAACGTAGGGTACAGCACATGGCGGTAAACTTCGATACACCCTTCCGGAAAGTATGTCATCTTGGCTATATAGAACCTCGTTTTCGCGTACGTGACATAAATGAAAGCCCGACATCTCAATCACGAAAACGAGACTCTATAGCCAAGACGTACTTTCCGGAAGCGTGTATTTGGACACATTAAATAAGCAAAATATTTTGTTATAATATAAGTGTGATATAACAGATAATTTCATTAGCTAATGCGCATGCATTGTGACGCAATAATGCACTGTGATCTGTGGCACTGCTTTGCTCTTTCTCTGTTTTTGCTCTTTCCCTCTTCATCTCTGCTTTTTAGCCAAAAATATAAACAAAACTATAGAGCTTTTAAAATACAAAATTTATCAGAAAGCAAGAAGGAATAGACCAAAGGAACAAAGCAATTTTCTATAGTTCTACGTGTAAAATTAGCGGGCTTTGGCATTCGTCGAATTTGTTGTTGTCTCTACAAGTTTTGGGTAAAAGCGTGCAAAATAGCCGAGAAAAAACTTGAAAAAGATACAGGAATACCAAACACATAGAAAAAGGCAACAACAACGGAATATAAGTTTAGATAAATAACAACTGCTTTTCTGTTTATTATATAAAGGACATGCAGTCTTTGAAAAGCGATAATTTTTACAGAAGCGATAATTGAAAAGCGATAATTTTCACATGTGAAATTATAAATAATCTCACATGTGAGAGTATCAGTTTTATCAGTGCTCGAAATCTCTATAAACCACTATACTTTATATAATAAAGTGCGATAATGCACTCGGGGAATGTTGGGAAATACTCGAAAATACGCCTCGTGTTTTACACGCTTCTCTCGTATTCTCCCAACATTTCATGCGTGCATTATCACATCATAAACGCACGCAACTCGTTTTCTATTTCTTAATTAAAAATCGCCCGCGATGCTGTAGGCACAATGCCTGGATATTTTCTAGCTGTGGTCGATTTCGTTCATCGTTTGATATATCCGATTAACCAATCAGATGCGGTAGCTGAAAGTCAAGTCTGAACCTCCCTAATATCAGTTTAATGATAACAACGACAGTATATACGGTTGACTCTTGTCATTACAGTAGTTCATTAGGATAAGCCAACTGAGGCTGTATATTCTTGTATATTCTTCACTAGGTAAAGTTAATTTACTAATATTAATTTACCGATAACTCTAGAAATTAAGATATGCGGCTCACCACAAGATGACTGCCACAGATTTGCTACATGCTTTGACACCGCTCCTGGAAAACACAAATGTATATGTCAAGATGGTTATTTTGGGAATGGGAAAGAATGCGCAGGTGAGTGGCCGAGGTTTAGCCATGGTTAAACACAGGTTTTCCTTGCGTAATTTCTGGACGATACCGTACCACCCCGTTTACAAGCCAATTGGATCATCAGGCCAACAACTCCTCTGCAATTACCATAGCGCGCATTTATAAAGGCAATAGTTTAAAATTAGCTTACCATTACTATGCAATATATTACGTTTAAAATATATTAATTTAATTAAGTTTTAAGGTATTAATATAAATAGAAATCAGTTAATTAAGAAGTAGAAATATGATAATCATGCATATGATTATCTAAAAGAGTGAGATTAAGTACAAGTATTGTAAAAGTCACAGCTCGGGGAGCAGATGATGTAAAAGTTCGATCCCCGAGTGTTACAAGTGTCGGTTTATTATTGGTTCTTGCATGCAGTGCGGCTGCTGCAGGTATTCAGTTGTCAGAACAAGTCTCTTAGTTTATAACTTCCCATTATTTAAAACTCCTCTAAGACTTCACAAAGCCATTGAATAAGAGATATTTTAGACTACATATATATATATATATATATATATATATATATATATATATATATATATATATATATATATATATATATATATATATATATATATATATATAGCTTAAGATTTTGGTTTACGAAACACAAACAGTGCTCAATACCATATAGATAGAGCGTAATATAAGTTTTCGTTTTACCTCAAAAAAACCCCCACAATAGTCCGTATAGGATGAAACAGACTATTGTGGGGGTTTTTTTTGAGGTATATATATATATATATATATATATATATATATATATATATATATATATATATATATATATATATATATATATATATATATATATATATATATATATATATATATATATATGGGCGTCTCATGGTTCCACATATATAGCGTGACATATAGCCTGTATCTGAATTTAACAGCCTTTTTCTGACAGTCTAAAATATACTTTTGTTTTTTATAGAGAAAAGATGTAAATTTGATATTGGATTCTTGATTGATTCCTCTGCAAGCATGCGCGACTGTAACTATGAGAAGGAAAAGAATCTGGTGAAACATATTGCAGAACAAATGCAAGTAACACCAGGCAAGAGCCGTGCCAGTGTTCTCTTGTTTAGTAACTCTGCTGCCATGTACAAGAATTTCAATAGATTTGAAGAACTAATGGACTTTAACATGCTTGTAAATGAACTACCGATGGTCGGAGGAGCAACACACTTGGATAAAGCTCTTGAGGTGGCAGCATCAGAAATGTTTACTACTGCGAACGGAATGAGAAATAGTAAAGTGCCAAAACTACTGTTTCTACTAACCGACGGTGCACAAGCTGCTGGGTCTATGAGCAAACCATTGCAAGAAGTAGTGTCATCTTTACATAAACGGAATATCAGAGTTGTTGTGATAGGCGCAGGGGAAGCTGACGAACAACAATTATCACCGCTTGTACAATCTAGTGAAGACTTACTAATGGTGAAGAGGTTTGAAGATGCAACAGATCAACTAACTACCTTTGCAGACCAGATGTGCTCAGGTATTTATTTAGGTTTGGTTTCCATTTAGATTTTAGTCCGATCCGTGTACATGTCATGGTCGCTAATGTGAAATGAGACAGGATCCGTGTGTATGTAAAGCAGTCCTAACAATCTCCCAAATAGAATTCAATATGGTTTGTATGTTAACTTGACACATGCATATGTCACAAAATATTCCCTTGCTATATTAATCTGCAGTTTAGGTTACTTCTGTCCAGAAATTTTCGGTTTGTATATGTGGGTTCATACCCGCCACCATGCACGATGCCTAGCTGCTATCGGACGAAGATCGTTTTATTAGTTTCCCTTAAATTTCCTGCTCAATTAATTAAAGACCAATAAATCATTGATTTCGATTAAATCAAATAACTTTCAGTATTAGCGAGAAGTACTTGTATAATCGGACTTACGCATACCCCAGAATAAAAACTGATCGGAAAAGCTGCCATGACTGTAAGCAACGTTGAGGTAAATTAAGGTGCATGTCTAGTCTCTAGGATTTGCGAATTAAGGAAAGAAAAATATTGATTAGATACTGCAATTCTATTTAAACATCTGATAATTTTCAAAATGTATGTAATTGTGATTTACAAGAAAATGCACAAATATTAATTTTAGCGGCGTTTTGGACAGTTTTCGAGGAAAAGAAGAGGTTAATAATTAAGAGAAACTATAACGAATTCGATAGTACGTTTAATAGTTGAAGTGGATTTAAACTTGGCTGATAAACGTAATTTATCATTTTTTCATTAGTTGGTAGATGTTCCTATATGGAAAGAACAGTTCCAGTTAGAATTGAAGGGTGTGTAAGCACACAGCCCGTAAAAATGGGTAAGTTGTGTCGGGAAAAATGGAATTTACTATTTACGAGTCAAAGACAAAGTGTTTTGGTTTTTATATATACATTTAAATAATTAAAGTTAATTCATGACGCGAACATTTGTAATGAACGTCTCATATTACTTTACAGGTGCGTGTATGGGTAAGTGTGTAACTGGACCCAACTTCCAACAGACAAATGGTGTTTTCAAAATCGACTGTCAGACATGTCGACCTGGTGGTTATGCAATAAAAACAGTTGTCTTATCTTGTCCTGGAAACAAAAGACGGTCCTTCGAAATCAAAGCAGTAACGTCGTGTATTTGTGCAAAATGTCCGTGGAAGAAGCATTTGTAAACGTTTTTGATTACAATGAATTGAAAACGTTACAGAATATAGAATTATAGATTATACAGAATTACATAACCTATAAATTAAAAGGTTATAGAATTCTAATCCAATTCTAGACTAATACTTTTTACCAAAGTAAATACTACTATTATAAATTTATAATAAGTTTATATAGAACACAATTTATGTGTGTATGTAATATCAGATGTTATTTTACCAATAATGAAGTTATAGAACAGACTGCATGACTTAGGTAATAGGTATAGAAATTAGGAAATGGAAAAGTAAACGTACACAACTATAAATTTTTAAATTCTAGATTTTATAAGAGAAACCAATAAAATACAGTTGATAGAACAATTTTTATTTGAATGCATATGTTGATAATACATTACACCCTAAACAACCTATACAGTATCTTAAACAGCCTATAGATAAGAAAATTTTCCGCAAACTTCCGTCTTTTTTCTCTTAGACTAATACAATTTGAAATATCAAGCTTAATGCTGCGAGGGATGGTCAATTATCATGCCCATTATGCATTTACAAAGCCCAGATACCTAGGCAAACTTAAAATTTGTAAACTTCTCATCCAGTTTCATCTACAGCATGGTGCTCGTGATGGTAGTGATGATGGTGATGGTATTGATGATGGTGGGGAGATGATGATGGTGTAGTAGTGATGATGATCATATATCATGATGATCGTGAGGTGGTTGTGACGATAATGATGGTGGTTTTGAATGGTGATTAAGCTCTTTATATTTTTTTGTGAAAAATGGTTACAAGTATCCAAAGCACCATACGAACAAATAATAACCATCTTGTCTGGGCACATTCAAACTTACCTGGATTTGGGCTCCACATATTAAACTTGTGGTTCAGTTTAATATGTTTACCACTCTGAGGTAGACAGAAAGCCTTAACAGGTTTTACAATCCAATTGACAAAAGTCTTGAAGCCGGGTTAGTTAGGCCAGTATTTTTTTACATTTAATACCTAAAGGTTTATTTTAGTGAGGGATGAAAACTGGAGGACCTGGAGAAAAAACCCTTGATGCACAGCAAAGATCAACCAAACTCTAATTACATGACCTTTCAAGCACAGCGAAGTTACCCAATTATTACCCTTATTGGAGAAACAAATAAATTCCAATCAAATGCAGAACATTACAAAAAAACATTCAAAATTTGTAAACGTGAGGTTTTCGACATAAGCTAATTTGAGCATGATATTTTCAATCCTGGGCTCCAGTTGTGGCATAGGAAGTCCGTAGATAACAAGATAGAAAATTGATGATGCTAACTTGAGGGTCCTGAAGGGGTTTCAAAATCCCATTTCCCAGCCCATGTTTTGTAAACCTTTAGGTATTAAATAGCAGAATAGACAATTTTAGACAAATTTTCAACTCGGCAAAAATTTTCCATACCTAAGTTATTTAACTCTCTTTTTAGGGGCTGTTAATAGTATGTAAAGGGGGTTTCTCTCATCTCCGCCTGGAATCTTCCGAACCAAAGTTAAAAAATCCATCCTCAAAATCCGGTTCCGGAATCTTCCAGACGACTGATCCCTAGGATGCTCCTTGCGAACTTCGGTTCGAAGGATTTGGGAAGGATTTGGGAAGTGATCACATTCTAGATTTTGGAATCAACTTGAACAACGGTTTAAAGACAACACTTTTAAGTAACAACATTGGCAGATTTTGAAGAGAGTAACAACATTGGCATTAATGTGATAGGATTAGTTTGTGATGTTATTATAGCATTTAGGAAAGCTGGATGGAAGTATGAGAAGATTATTACTTTGTTTCACTATGACAAGAGGTATGATGTGGTTAATAACATTAGTCGTTTATGGACAAGCCAAATTAGCAAACGCAATGTTACCAGAGTATTCTGTAATCATTGTCTGAAATCTTTTTGCACTGCGAAAGCGTACGATAAACATTTGGAATCATGCCGGAAAGCAGTCGTGTTCGAGGAAGAAGAGTATGCGAAACGGAAGCATTGGACGAAGTTGGCGGAAGGAGATTAAAATTGAAGAGAAAAGACGTGAGAATGGAGTTATAAGACTAGCGGAGGAGGAAATAACGTGGGATGATGGTATTAAAATTATATTTATGAAAGAAGAAATGTCTGAGGAAAGCAGTGATGATGACGACGATTATCCAGTAGTTTCGTACTACGAGGGTACATATGAGAACTGAGCACATTAATATTTTTTCTGATATATATATATATATATATATATATATATATATATATATATATATATATATATATATATATATATATATATATATATATATATATTTATTTATATATATATATATATATATATATATATATATATATATATATATATATATATATATATATATATATATATATATATATATATATATATATATATATATATATTATATATATATATATATATAAAATATATATATATATATATATATATATATATATATATATATATATATATATATATATATATATATATATATATATATATATATATATATGGTCCACCTGATGATTCCTATACGGAATACGGATGAAACAGACTGTTGTGGTTTTTTGAGGTAAAACGAAAAACTATATTACGCTCTGTCTATATGGTATTGAGCACTTTGGAAAAATTTGGAAATTTGAATTCTCTAGACGGTTGGAAATGGCATTTTTAGAGTCATTCCTATCAATTTCGGGATTACGGGCAGATCGGAAGAG